CATCACCTGCCACCCCTGAGTTCTGCAGCTCTGTATCCTGGGTTGCTGTGGCTCTTCTCTATGGCTGAGTTCTGTTGGTATTCTAACATTCTAATATGGAAGTGAGTTTTCTACTTTATGCACCTGGGTCTTAATTGTAATTCACTTTTGTGCCCAAATGCAGACACACACTCCCACCATCCTCAGTGCCTGCCATGTTGGAGCTGTGATGTACACAGGGCTCTGTGGTCCTGTCTTGCCTCTGAATGATCTTGATCTGTGTATAATAAATTCCATGTGCATATTATATTTGTTCATGTGTTTGTGGAAGAAACAGCTTTGTGTCTTCTGTGTTCCCACTTTAAATTTTTAAAGAGTGCTTTTAACCCTTGAAAACAAAAATCGTCTTGTTTTGTATGTAAGACCCATTGGGTTTTGTTTTTGTTTTTCTAATGAATAAACCAAGTACTATCCACAAATTAGTTTGTCCTTTGTTTGGGACACCTGGCCTGGGTGGCGTGATGACATCACCACCAAAGGAAAGGAGCTTAGACCTGCAACACAGTCCCATCCCTGCTCCCCACCTGTGGACAGCACTGGGCCAGCCTCCTGAACCCAGGAGCAGTATTGCTTTCCTTCCAAGTTTGCTGTGTTGTGTGCAACAAAAACTTCTCCCAATTCTGGGAAGGGCAGCACTCTTGGGCTGAAGGCTGTGCCATCTATCAGCTAGGGCCAGCAAGTCCCACATGTACACTCATGTCCTAGTTTCTTGTCCTGTCTCTGTGACAATACACTCTTGACAACATGATAGAATGCTCTTGGCAAAAACTACTTCAGTGTTGATTTTGATACAGTCCATCACTACAGGAAAGGCCAGATGGGAAGAGTTTAAAGTAGCTGGTGACATCACACCCACAGTCAGGAAATGGACAAATGTCCCTGTGGTGGCACTGGTGGCTTTGTGAGAAGTCTGATATGGCCAGCTTGCTCTGCCTCGTTAAGTGTTACCTCGGTACCAGTCCAAAAGGAGGACCTTGCAGATGCCCGGGAGATATCAGGTCCTTGATATTGAATTCCTAGTCTCGAGAACCCTGATCCAAATAAACCTCCCTTCTATATACATTACAAGCCTAAGATAATTTGTTATACCGACAGGAAATAAAGTAAGACTGTCAGGTGGACCACATGAGAAGTATTTGGGCTTTTTGTCTTTCCAGACACTTCTATTTAACATGTGGTGTCTACCTTTGTATTCTCATCAGCTCTCCCAGGAAAAGCATTTTATTGGACATGGCCAATTAAAGCAATTCAGTGCCCAACTGCAGTGCCAGAATGAAACCCACACAGCCTGCAGGCAGGCTTGGTCCCTCTGCCAAACCACGTTTTTTTTTGGTTTGGCAGCTGACAATTCTGGCCCAGGCCCTGTATTACCCCTGGGCTTAGAAGAGGGGACTGTCCACCTCACAGGTTTTCTCAGAAGTGCCGATTACTGAGACAAATCCGCCCCATCACATACATGGCAGGACCAGAGCTTAGTTCTCCCCAGCGTGGCACTGTCCACCTGCTCTTCAGGGTGGCTGCTGTGAAGGCCTTCCCTCTTTGCAGCACTTGGTTGGTGGGGCTTTTTCCTTTCAACAGAAGGCAGAGGGGCTCTGAGGATGTAGCGTGGCTGAATTTGATCCCCAGCACCACATAAACTAAGTGTGGTACTGTATGCCTCCTGATGTCATCCCAGCATCAGGAGGTGGGAAAAGAGATGTTTAAGACCATCCTCAGTTATGTGGAATGGGGAGAGGCTAGGCACAAGGCAGGTGGCATTTAGGAATATTTTTAATGATTTTCAGCAAGACGTGGTGGCTCACACCTTTAATCCCAGCACTCGGGAGGCAGAGTCAGGTGATCTCTGTAAATTCAAGGCCAGACCTGTTTACACAGTTCCAGGACAGCTAGAGCTACATAGTGAGACCCTGTCTCAACAAGCCACAGGTTGATTAATTCAGGGGCTGAAGAGATAGATGGCTCAGCAGTTAAGAGCAATACTGCTTTTGTTGAGGACCCAGGTTCAGTTCCCAACACCTAAATCAGATGGCTCTCAGCCTCCTGTAACTCTAGCCGCAGGGTCTCCTCTTCCATGCTCTTCAGGCACCTGCACTCATGTGACACATAACAAACCCATAAAGGCACAGACTTCTACACAAATAAGTTAAATTTTTTTGTTTATGTTGTGATAGTTATTCTTAGCTGACAACTTGATTACATCTGGAATGAACTACAATCCAGAAATGGAGGGCACACATGTGAGAGATTATTTTTGCTCAGTTTAAAGTGGGGGAATCCACTTCTAGTCTGGACCTTTGAAATAGGAAGACACACATCTTTGATCAGGATCTTGAGGGGGGAGACCCACTGTTAATCTGGGCCACACCTTCTACTGGAAGCCTATATATGGACACGGAAGAAGGAAGCTTTTGCTCTTTGCCTGCTTGCCATCAACTTGCTAACAAGTCCATTTCTTCACTGGCATTGGAGCTACTTCTTCAGGGTTCCAGCATCTACAGAAGACCAGCTGAGACACCCAGCTGAGTAACTACTAGATTCTTGACCTTTCTCTTCACAGCTAGCCATTGTTGGATTAGCTGGACCACAGCCTGTAAATCATTCAAAAAAAAAAAAAAACCATATATATATATATATATATATATATATATATATATATATATATTCCTTAAGTTCTGTGACTGAATCCTGACTAACACATATATGTATAGGTGTTTTGTCTGCATGTATGTGTGTACACCACATGGTGCCCTCATAGAGCCTAGAGCTGGAGTTACTGACAATTGTGACTCACCATGTGGGTGTGCTGGGAATTGAACCATGTCTTCTGAAAGAGTAGCCAGTTCCCTTAGCTACTGAGATATCTCTCCAGACCCTAAATAAAAAATAATTTCTTTTTTGAGACAGGGTCTATCTATGTAGCCCTGACTATCCTAGAACCAGTTACACAAACCAAGCTAGCCTCAAACTCACAGAAATCTGCCAGCCTCTGTCTCCCCAGTGCTGGGATTAAAGGTGTGTGCCACCACTGCTGATAGCCCTAAATAAAGCTTACAAAATGCCATATGCAATGGTGCACACCTTTAGTCCCAGCACTTGGGAAACAGAGGCAGGTGGATCTATGTGTGTTTGAGGACAGCCTGGTCTACAGAGTGAGTTCCAGGACAACCAGGACTACACAGAGAAACCGTGTCTTGAAACAACAACAAAAAACCCTTTACAGTTGGACACCCAGCCTGCTGGCTATCCACCACAGAAGAGCAGTCTGTAGATTCATGCTTCAGCCTGGGTTCATAGCCTTTTAATTAAACCAATCGATTTTTTCTAGAAAGCATCCCCACTCCAAATGAGACATTAAGACTGTTGCCAAATGTTTACTTTGTACATTAGTAATACTGAAGGGGAAAAAAAACAGTGCATTTAATTTCTGTGAACAAAGCATTAATGACATCATGTAAAGATTTTCTTTCTGATCTCAACATCCACCCCCTCTCCAAACAATCAGGTCAAGTGGAGGTGCCATACATCCTTAATCCCAGCACTTGGGAGGCAGAGGCAGGGGGGATCTCTGTGAGTTCAAAGTCAGCCTGGTCTAGAGATGGCTCAGAGGTTAAGAGCACTGGCTGCTCTTTCAGAGGTCCTAAGTTCAATTCCCAGCAACCACATGGTTGCTCACAGACATCTGTAATGAGACCTGGTGCCTTCTTCTGGCCTTCATGGATACATGCAGACAGAACACTGTATACTTAATAAATAAATCTTTTTAAAAAATCAGAAGTAGAGATAGCTGAGTGGATAAAGTATAGTTTGGAGTCAGGCACAGGGACATGCATCTATAACCCTAGCACTAAAGGACAGAGAGGCCAGCTGATCCCCAGGGTTCACTGGCCACTCAATCTAACCAAAACATCAGGCTCCAGGTTCAGGGAGGGACCCTGTCCCAAAACACATAGTGGGGAGCAATAAAGGAAGGCATCTGATGCCAACCTCTGGCCTACACACATACACATACACACGAGCACATATACATTAAAAAAACAGTGATCTGGATAAACAAGATGGCTAGCAGAGTAAGGTACTTGCTGCCAAGCCTGGCCTCCCCTCCCCCACAGAGAGAGAGAGCAAAAAGAAAGGAAAATGACAGCTGGAGAGGTGGCTCAGTGGCTAAGAGCACATATTACTCTTATAAATGACCCAAGTTCAGGTCTCAGTACTGAGATGAGATACAGTTCACATCTCCTATAACTCCAGGAAACCTGACATCCTCTCCTGGACACACACACACACACACACACACACACACACACACACACACACACACACACACACACACAAAAAAAAAAACTAAAAATCTTAATCTTAAATAAAACAAAATTATCATAGAGAGCCTTTTGTAAACCTGAGTATTTCCAATCTAGGTCAGACCTGGATGGTACCTGAATGGAAAACCTCTAACTTCCACAGTTATCAACAAAGATTGTCATTGTCAACCTTGGTGCATGGCTTATGTCCCTCCCTGAGCCTACCACCAGCTGGAGCACCCCCACACTCTCTGGGGACCTTCTAGGGCCTGTGCCTAGCATGGTCACACACATGGCAATAGCTCTCAAGTAAAGACATTTGTGGCACTCCCTGGCATACTCTACCTTTCAGACCAAGATTTGGGTTCCAAGATGTTCAGTTCCCTGTTACTCCAGGACAAATATGAGACAAGTCTGTAGCAACTTTTTTAATAGAAAACCCAGCCATCAGCATCTTTCCTTCATAAAATACAGAAAGAAAGATATCATGGCCCTATTTGCATATTTCTCTCCTCCTGGAAGGAAAAGTGTTTCTGAGAAGGCAGTGAGATCTGTGCCTTTAGAACTGGGCACTTGTCAAGGATTGGGACAGCAATGCTCCCTACAACAGCACTGAGTTGGGAGACACCCCTCCCCTTGGGGGGGGGCAAGCACCCAGCTCCCTTAGTCACAGATGGATGGCCTGTTAACATTGTAACTGGGGTGAAAATTAAGGCGGTCACAGTGGGTGATGTAATTGTCAGGGCCTGTCACTAGGCTCTTCTCCAAGCCGACATTAAAAGTATTATTCCGGAACATTCCAGAAGCTGAAAGTTGTCTGGAGAACTTATTTGAAGATGGATAAAATACTTTCTGGAAGTGAAAAGAAACAAGAGGATTAATGGTATGTGACAATACTCAAGCAGCCAGACTGGTATTTTAGAAGAAGAGTAAGAATTTGTAAGAAAATACAACCTCTGTTGCTAGGAAGCACAGAAACCAGAGTGGGCAAGATGGCCTATTCTGCTCCAACCATCCCAATTTGTGCTTAATATGTCTAATATAATTAACAGTGCCTAGTTTCCACACTGCATGGACATCAAGGGAAGTTACAGGATTACTTGTGTGCAACACCTCCACACCTAGGTGTTACAACAAGCATTTACCTGGGGTCAGGCCAGAGCACCATCCCCCTACACACACACACACACACACACACACACAAAGGTCTACTCCTGCCAACCATGCCACACTGGGCAAGTCCCCAGGCCTCTGAACCCTCCAGTTTTTTCTTCTGTGAGTGTAGTTACCTTGCAACACTGTATCTAACAAATACTTAAAACTAACTTAGGAAGAGAAAAAGTTAGAGGGCATAATGGCCCATACCTTTAATCTCAACATTTGAGGCAGATCTCTGTGAGTTTGAGGCCAGTCTGGTTTATATATAGAGTTCCAGAACAGTCATGACTTCATGACTATATAGAGAGACCCTGTCTCAAAATGAGAGAAGAGAGTAGTGGCATCTTGCTTTGCCAATGAATTTGAGGTGGTGGCCACATCTTAGGGGCATGACTTCAGGTGTAGATGTCACCCTTATAAGGAATGGGAGAGGCTGGCTCACTCTCTTAGGTTGTGGTGAGAGCACAGAGACCACATCTTCTGGAGCAGGAAGGCCACAACAGTTATTTACCATTATCTGTGTAAGTGATTCCCTAATAAATACCTGTTTATCGTTTACCTTGAGTCTTGTGGACTCATTAAAACCCCGCCTTCAATGAGAGAGAGAGACAGAGACAGAGACAGAGACCTGCTGACATAGAGAAGGAGAGAGAGAGAGAGAATATATCTGGGCCTCACTCCTGGAGTTTCAGCAGTCCCATGCTTTGGACCTCAGCTGAGGTGCTAGGTGGCAGTGATCAGAGCAAACTTGAGTTGGGAGCTATGAGGAAGAGTGAAGAGAGGACTGGCTGGATGCCAGGATATCTCTCAAGGGTGACCACCAAAGCCCTGAAAACTCCCATAAAGTCCCACATCACAGGAGCACATACTAGCAACCCTGCCTTTAATACACAGACTTTGAGGTCACTCCTCCAAGGCATAGCAGTGGTGTCTGACCTGGCTGTAAGCCAAAATCCTCTGGCAAGGGTTTTAAAGACTCCAGAGCATGCACCATGGACCCAGTGTGTGGGAGGGGGCTGCTCTGAAGAGGCACAGGGCTCTCAGTTCTTTCTGAGAATGTGGTGAGGCCACTGTGAGTACAGGAACTTTGGTGAGAATCAGCCTGGCTAGACAGGCTCATTACATGATAGGGAGATGTCTGACATGTGCAAACTAACCTCCACCATGTAAAGAAAAATTATTTCAGAGCATTTCCATCTCTCTCTCTCTCTCTCTCTCTCTCTCTCTCTCTCTCTCTCTCTCTGTCTGTCTCTCTCTGTCTCTCTCTCTTCCTCCCTTTTCCTTCCTTTTTTTTTTTTTTTTTTTTTTCCGAGACAATATTTCTTTGTGTAGCCCTGGCTGTCCTGGAACTAGCTCTGTAGACCAGGCTGGCCTCAAACTCACAGAAATCCACCTGTCTCTGCCTCCAGAGTTCTGGGATTAAAGTCATGCACCACCACTGCCTGGCTCAGAGCACTTTTCAAAAGGCAAGTTTGAGATTCCCAGGAAAACTGAACATAAAATAGTGTCCAGATTCCATTGTAATGTACACAGCTCCCCCAGAGTTAGCACAGTGCATTGCAGGTGCGATGCATCTGAGCCGATACTGCTACTTGGCTGTTCACTAACAGCACCATGTGCTCAGGGGCTCCCTCTTGGCCCTCCAAGTACCTTTTGACAAGTGTATAAGGACAGATATCTACCGCTGCAGTATCATGAGAATATTACTAAGAGATGCTCACAGAGTGCAATGTAGTCAGACAGGAAGCTGAACAGCCAACCCAACAATAGGACAGTAAGAAGCAGGGACTAGCCACCTCCTAACCTGCCCGCTAGCCTCAGCTTGTGGCCCATGGCCTGATAACCTGAGTGTAAAATGCCTCTGTTGACCTTTTATAAAGGCAGAAGCAGAAACCGAGGCTGGTAGAACACTATGGCTATATTAGCAAAGCCCCAACCCTTCACAAAACAGGGTGTGGTAGATGCTCTTTAACCCAGCACTTGGGAGACAGAGGCAAGAAATTCAGGAGTTCAAAGCCATCTTCAGCTACCTGGTGAAGTCAAAACAATCTGGGGCTAAATTGAGACTCTGTCTCAAAGAAAAAGATAAAGGCAAGTATTGCCAGCCTTGATGACTTGAGTTGGGTCTCCAGGACTCATATGGTGAAAGAACTAATTTCTACAAGTTGTCCTCTGACCTACATACATGTGCTGTGGTGCACCCACACCAAAGACAAATAGAATGCAATTTATGACCACAGAAGTAGCCAGGAGTGGTGGTGAATGCCTTCAATCCCAGCACTTGGGAGGCAGAGACAAGTGATCTCTGTATGAGACCAGCCTGGTCTACAAAGCAAGTTCTAGGACAGGCAAGGCTTCATAGAGAAACCCTATGTCAAAAAAAAAAAAAAAAAAAACAAAACAAAAAAAAAAAAAAACAAACCAAATAAGCAAATAAAACAGAATGCAGAAGCACCAGTCAGTACCCATCCATGTACTTGCTTCCCACACAAACACCTTTTCTCTGATTCTGGAACACTGACTCCAGAACATCTTTTAAAGTAGTCTCTTCACGGGAGTTCTGTCTCTCAGAACTATGACACAACTAAATGATCAATCAAAAACGGCAACTGTTTGGGAAAATGACCCCCAACATCCTCCTTCCAAAGAGGGAGCCCCGTGATCGGCACATGCTCACTGACTCCTTTAGTGCTCCCCCTGGATCTGAATGACTTCAATCACAATGGCATCATCTTGCAACCTTAGCTCTGACCAGGGCTGCACTCCAAAGCTCAGTTGCACATCTCACTGCACAAAACTAATTCCAGGGGACACTTGGCTTCCTTGATTTGATGTAAAGGTGCATGTGCACATGTGAAGAAGTGCATGCCTGTCTGAAGGTGTGAATGACTATAGTGCAGAAGGACAATGCAGAAGCAAGCATACTTGGACTTTTCTCTTCATAAAACATATTTTGCTTCTAAGTGTATTCAGTCTTCTCTCTGCCCTGCCCTGCCCCATTCTAACGTGACTTGAGGTGCCTCATATTTATAATGGGACTCCTCACAACTCTGTTCTTCTAGATAGTTCCTCAGCCGGACATGTCTGGCATGCACCTACCGGCATCTCATGCACTGTGGGTGCTCTGCTCCCATAGGTTTGGTTACTGGTCCTGTACATGGAGACAGCCTCATTGGTCCTGCAGAAGAGAGATACACACTGTTTCCCACTCAGTCTAATCCACACAGGTCATAACCTGGTAGAATGTGATTGATAGAGCTTTTTTATTCATGTCCCCAGACGGCAATAACATGCCAGCAGGGCTCCCACTGTGGCCACTCATTCCCAGCAGGCCTGCCTCCCTGGCCTCCTCCGCTAGCCATGGCCAGTGATCCTTCCTAGGTAAACCCCTACAGAGCACCCAGCCAACAAATGCTGGAGGGGGGGGCGCTCAGTGGGACATTGGCACAGATTGTCTCTGCCAGGTATGTAGCTACCTGGGAAAACAGCATCTCAGCTCCGACCCTGTTACCCAGCTAATCCTCCACTTCTGGGCCCCAGCCCTTACAGAGGCCAAGCTTCTGACAGGTGGATCAGAGGAAGGAAATCTGGTTTGTGAAGCTGTGGTCTGTGATACAGAGGCTACTGTCAGGACACCACTCTACTTCTCACTCGGAGGCCTAAGCAAGCTGTCCTCTTACTTGTGGGGAGGGGTTGGTAGTATGCGTGCACATGCTTCACAGAAGTCAAGAAGGCTGCTATCATTTACAAGGGAACTACGCTGCCCTGTAAAACACACACACAACCTTACTAGCACACACACTTACTCTCATGGTTGCTCAGACAGCAGGTCCACGACCCTGACAATAATGGTGGCGCAAAGAACTCTGGCTTTTTTTTGACCTCAGCGATCAGGCACTTTGGACTTTTCACACACATGCCCCAAGCTAGGGGCCACCTGCAGTACCCTGCTTCCTGGAGGAGGTAACATCAGTTTTTCTCACCTGTAGCCTCGAAACCACCCCGGGTTGTTGAACCTGACTGGGAGCTGCTCGCTCACGCAGTAGTAGTCGCTCGTCTTCTCTGGGGCAGGCTTAGCCTTGGGTTCCACCGGCTCCGTGCACTCTTGGGGATTTTCTTCAGACATTTGACCTCCACAGGAAAGTAGCCCCCGGACTACTAAGTAGTCAAGACCGCGGCTGCCGCGGCAGGGCGTCTTGTTGCTAGGCAGCAATGTTGCCTGATCGGGAGGAGGGGCGGTCCTTTGTAGGCTGCTTGCCACTGGAGCTATAAGCAAGTCTAGAATCTTCCAGAGGGCGAATAACAAAGGGGACAGTGAGGAGTTCTAAACTAGGACTGTCGCGCTAAGGAATCCTAAGCTTTCAGACTTCAGTCCCTCTGGGAGTTACGCTGGCCTTTTTCTGGGACTATTGGGAACATCCTGGTATCATCCCAAAAGGCAAAAAGAAGCAGATCCTGGGCAAATGAAATCTTAGAACCTGGGACTTGACTAGCAAACACACAGGAATTAGGTTTCTATTTTCTACCTAAGCAAGCACTCACTGGTCTGCAGTTTACTATTCTTGCCAGGACTTCTCCTTAGCCTCTGTTACCCCATGCCCCATGATTCAGCCTAATTTAGAACCGAGATGTTGCTAAATTTAGGAATTCCTCCCAGATCAAATACCATTTAAATAAATAAACAAACAAACAAATAAAAAGATCTTGTGAGCTGTGCACATATTGATGACTTGCTAGTGCAATGCCAGGAAGCAGATCTCTGAGTTTGAGGCCAGACTGATCTACATAGAGAGTTCTAGGTCAGCCAAGGGTATGTAGTGAGACCTTGTCTCAATAATAATAATAATAATAATAATAACAACAACAATTTAAAACAAACAATAAAAGTCACTCGGGGCATAGTGTGGTGGTCCACACCAATAATTCCAGCACATGGAAACAGAGATAGGCAGATCTCTGTGAGTGCCAGACCAGTCAGGGAAACTTTGGTTCATTGTTGTCTTCATTCTTTAAAGTAATTTGGGGCCCAGCAGGTAAGGACATTTATTGTTCTTACAGAGGACCTGGGTTCAACTCCCAGCACCTATAAGGTGACTCAAAAACATCTTTAACTCCAGTTACTGGGGATCAATCTCCACAGGCATCGGGCACTCACAGGGGTGCATATACATACACATAGGCAAAATACTCATACATAACATATACATATAAACAAATTTTAAAGAAAAAAAAAACAATTAAAAACCAAACAATATGCCAGGCAGTGGTGGTGCATGCCTTTAATCATAGTACCCGGGAGCCAGAGGCAGGTGGATCACCGGTTCTGAGAAGACGCTATGATTTTACCGGGAGGAACGAGTTGTAGATGAGAATCCCCTCGTCCTGGTTCAGTACCTCCCACCTACCAGCCCGGCTCATATCGCCTGCCACAGCACAGACTCTCCCTGGCGGAACCCTTCCTATATGGTCGGGTGCAGCAGGAACCGGCGGCGGTCCTCCGAGCCTGCAGGCGGCGGTGCGGCTCCCCGCGCTCGGCGGAGGAGGTGCTCTGCCCGGCAGGAAGTGTCTCTGCGACACCTCTGTCCACGCGCCAGCCATGGCGCCCGCTCCGGCCGTCCTGACCCGGCTGCTGTATGCAGGTGAGCGCGGAGGCCCCCGAGACGGGAGGGACCCTGGGATCCGAGAGAGGAGAACAGAGACGTGCACAGAGCGCGGCCCCACCTGCTCTCTTCCCGCAGGTGTGTGGCGCTTGCCAGGTTTCCTGCAGAAGGCGACCCCGGGCCCGGCGGGGCTGAATGCTAGGATGGTGACGGGAGCCCAAGTCCCCGTGATCAGCGAGCCCCAGCATAGCGATGGTAAAGGCCAGCGTCTGGAGCTGGACGGAGGCGCGGAATCGTGGAGAGGTTATCTTTGCGGGATCCCCGAACTAACCCTGTGCTAATCTCACTAAGTGGGGTGGGAGTCTCCCTCCCCTTGTCCTAGTAGCTCCCGAGACCAGCGAAGGCCAGTTTGGGATCCGTCCACTTTGCTGGTCTCCTTGCGCGCCATTTGAGGAGCCAGAAGTTGAGGAGGCCCCTGTCTCTTTCTCTATTACTATGGAGACTAAGGGGAGAGGAGTGACCAGGCTTTCCCCACACAGAGGTCACCTCAGACCTTGGCTCTAGTCCTTTGGCGCCGTAAAGAATGCCCCCTTTGTCTTCCAGATCTTTCCTAACATTTCTCCTGCTCGGCCTTGAGGTCCCCACTCCCAGGAGTGGTTGGTGGTGGTGTGCCACGGTGTCTTCTCTTCTTCCCTTTTCAGATCTCCAGAGCAGGGTCTTGGATGTACCACTGCAGCATTCGGACTTCTTCAATGTCAAGGAACTGTTTTCTGTGAAGACCCTCTTCGAGGCTCGAGTACACCTGGGCCATAAAGCGGGTTGCCGGCATAGGTAGCTGCCGTAGGCAGTGTGGGCAGAGCGGTGGGATCAGGTCAAGGTTGGAAGTGGGGGCTGATGGGAACGAACATAACAACAACATCAAGGGCAGTGAGTGCTGGTGTTGATGCTGTTCATAAACATGGTGAAAACTGAGGGTCACTACAGGCTGGGGACCCCAGTGGAGAGGTCCTGCTGTATAGAACTGAAGGGGCCATAGAGAGCAATACTAGGCAGAGTGCCTTGTGTGAGTTCATGGTTAATGTCCATGGGGGGACAGGTTGGGCCACACACCTGATGCTAGCTGCTCCACTCCAAAGCACTGTGTCCCATCCGGTCATTTCACTAGACAAGGGGTGGTAGGAAGCAGGTGAAGTAAATAGCGCTTCCCAGCTTCCCAGCCTGGAGTGCCCTCATTCAAATTGCTGATGGGGGTCTGTGGAAGGGGAAAGGTAGCTCTGTGAACAGTGTTCCATTCTACTTGGGGTTTTTTTGGCAGGTTTATGGAGCCTTACATCTTTGGTAACCGCCTGGGCCAAGACATCATCGACCTGGAGCAGACAGCCTTGAATCTACAGCTGGCCTTGAACTTCACCGCTCATGTGGCCTACCGCAAAGGCATCATCCTGTTTGTGAGCAGGAACCGGCAGTTCTCTCATTTGATTGAGAATACAGCCCAGGACTGCGGAGAGTACGCTCACACCCGCTACTTCAAGGGTGGTTTGCTGACTAATGCACACCTCCTCTTTGGGCCCACAGTCCGCCTGCCAGACCTCATCATCTTCATGCACACGCTCAACAATGTCTTTGAACCCCACGTGGCTGTGAGGGATGCTGCCAAGATGAACATTCCCACAGTGGGCGTTGTGGACACCAACTGCAACCCTTGCCTCATCACTTACCCTATCCCTGCTAACGATGACTCACCCCAAGCTATACATCTCTTCTGCAAGCTCTTCCGGACAGCCATCAAACGGGCCAAGGAGAAGAGGAGGCAGATGGAGGCACTGCATCGGCTTCAGAGTTCCCAGGGGTCTGAGGGCAGTGGGACATCTTCTGTACCTGATAAAAGCCATTCCCCATGACAGGAATACCTGCTCCCATACTAGATAGCCAAGCCTGCTCTGAGCAGGAAGCTCCTTGCCCAGTCTTGGCCTATACCCACATTCCCCATCCTCAGTATCAGAGTCCTGTATTCCCGAGATCTGGCTACCCCAGAGTCCAATCATCCTGAATTAAACCTTGTCCGCCTCCACAGCCAGGTGTCCTCTGGCATCCATTAAGACTTAGCCAGACAAGTGGAAGTCACTGTTTCTCTTGTCAAGTCCTTGCTTCCACTTTAGAAGTAGGTCTATATCAGGAGGGTTCCATTTGGTTTCTCTTTTCGATTACAATTAATACTTCTGTTCTGCAAAGGAGGTTCTAAGTAAGAAAAACGGATGTCCCTCAGGGCCCCCAATAGTTGCCTCTACACCTAAAACCAGTCTTAAAGGCTAACTAAGCAGGCTCCTAGAGAGGTAGAAAGGTGCACTATACTACTATGAGTTTACTAATTCATTCAAGCAGTCTGGGGAATATGTCTCGGAATGGATTTTAAGGGTGTGGTATAATGATGGAAGGAACATAAAATTGAATCAGGCTGTGTTTATTGATATGGGCCTTCTGAGTGGAAATCTAGGTTTAATATGGAAACTTGCACAGTTTTAAAAGGTGTTAAAAGTTTGCTTGAAAGGTTGGCTGAAGAATTTGTCAAAAGATGACCTATTGTTGGGAGCACAAAGGTCTTGTGTCTACAGATCACTGGGGAAACCAGAAATGTTCATCACACAGAGTTGTCTGCAAAGGAGGGAATGAATACCTGTTTTCCACTCAGAAGGCTGGGAGTGGATAGTGTTATAATTACCTGGTGACCTTTGCTATGTGTAGAGCCAGACACAAACCCCCCAGAATGTTTATCCCAGACTCTCCCTCCCTAGACCTTTACTTTTAGCTTTTTTTTTTTTTTTTTTTTCAAGACAGTTTCTCTGTGTAGACCAGCTGGCCTCAAACTTACTGAGAACTACCTTGCCTTTCATAGAACTAAAGGCGTGTGCCACCATTGCCCAGATAGCTTTGTTTACCAGTCATTAAAACCCATCCTTAGGTGAGATGTCAGATATTTTATAGCCTGCTGACCTTCATGCTGTCTAGGTCAGAGACCACTCAATATTCCAGGCTCTTAAACTACAGAACCCATCTTCATGGTCACATGTACTTTGAGCTGAGTTTAGATATAAATATGCCTCCGTGTGCACCAGGGATTATATTACACCAGGAAGCCTTTTTCCAAAATTGTACTGTTTAAATATGCTTACAATAAACTGCCTGGTGTCAGACTCTAGAACTTTGAACCAGCACCAACTAAGTCAGGCTGAACTGCATTTTCTTTGAAGGTTTATTTCCCTGCAGGCTATTACCCCAACAGCATCCTGAAAAGGAGTTGGAGATGCCTGATATCCCTTGGTTTGGTGTCGGCAAAGGGACTTTAAGGTTCAGGGAAGTTGCAGTGCTGGAAGTGTGTATGCTGTCTGAAACCTACTCCTCCAAAATGAGAAGTTCCAGAAGAAAAATGGTGAGGGGGTACCAGAACATTTGAAGAGCTTTGTTATCTCGCTTTTCCTTGTGCAAGACCTTAGGGTTGGATACACTGATGCTCATTTGGAATAATTAAATGCAATGGGTTTGCCAGGTGGCCTGTCTTTAATCCCAGCACTTGGGAGGCAGATGCAGGCAGATCTGTGAGTTCCAGGCCAGCCTGAGTTCCAGAACTGGCTCCATAGCTACTGAGAAACCTACTCAAACCAAAAAGAAAAGAACTCAACAGGTTTAATTGGGCCTGGGAGTATCATGAGCCAGGTGGCAGCACTTAATCACCAAAGACCAGGTGAGGGTAGTTATGGTAATGAGTAACAGACAAAACAATGTCTAACCTGTTTGAATGGCCTGGCCTGTATAGTCAGCACAAGCCATGTGAGTTTTATGATGGCATGGTTTGTATGGATCTCTGGTACTAGCTAATCAATATTGGTGCTTCCAAGCATTGAATAGATAACCCTACTGAATTTTTGGTTGATTCACATAATTGTAGAAATTCTCAAGTGAAAGAAAGGCTACATTGGATCTTGGCAAAAGGGATTCTTGGCCAATGAACCAATTTCCAGATTTGAGCCAGTTTGGAGAACCAGAATGAAGGAATGGCCATGTTCTCTGGAAGAAGGACCTTGATAAAATATCTAAACATTTTACTGTTAGCCTTTCCCCAGAGGGTACTACAGCCTCTGATAAGAGTAACTACACTGGGGGAAGAAAACAATCAGACTTTCCAGGGTCTATTGGAAACTGGTTTTGAGTTGACACTAATTCCAGGAGATTCCAAGTTAAAGTAGGAGCTCATGAAGGTCAGGTGATTAATGGGGTTTTGGCTGAAGTCCCACTCATAGACCCAATGGGTCCCTAAATGTCTCCTGTAGTTACTTCTCCAGTTCCAGAATGTATAACTGGGATAGATTATAAACTTCGACGCAAGTAGAATTCTCACATTGGTTCCCTGACTTGTGGACTGTGGGCTATTATGGTTGGAAAGGCTAAATGGAAGCCTTTAGCTTTGTCTCTGCCAAAGAAAATAGTGAATCAAAAACAGTAACACATCCCTGGAGGAATTGCAGAAATTGATGCCACCATCAAAGACTTGAAAGATGCAGGCAGTGGTGGTGGTTCCCACCACATCTCCCTTTAACTCTATCTGGCTACTGCAGAGGACTGATGGATTGTGAAGAGTGACAGTTAACTATTGAAAACTCAATCGAATAACTCTTTAAATTTCCAGTTGCTGTACCAGATGAGGTGTCCTTATCTGAGCAAATTAACATATATCCCAGTACATGGTATGCAGCAGCTACTAACCTAGCAAATGCCTTTTTCTCAGTACCTGACCATAAGGACTGCCAGAAGCAATTTGCTTTCAGTTAGCAAGGCCAGCAGTGAGCCTTTACAATTTTACCTCAAGGATATATTAATTCTCCAGCCCTGTGCCATAACTTAATTAAAAGGGATTTGTTTTTTGTTTTCCAAGATAAGATTTCTTTGTGTAGCCCTGGCTATTCTGGAACTTGCTCTGTAGAGCAGGCTGGCCTTGAACTCACAGAGATCTGCCTGCTTCTTCCCTAGTGCTGGGATTAAAGGTGTGCACCACCACTGCCCAGCCTAAAAGGGATCTTGGTCATTGTCTCCTCTACAAAATATCACATTGGTCCACTATATTGATGACATGCTAACTGAACCAAGCAAGCCAGAGGTAGCAACCATTTTGGACTCATTGGTGTCACATATGCACATCAGAGAATGGGAAATAAATTCAACAAAAATTCAAGAGTCTACCTCTGGGAAGTTCTTAGAGGAGTTCAGTGGTGGGGCACATGCAGAGATATTCCTTCTAAAGTAAAGAATAAGTTATTGCACCTGGCCCCTCCCATCACCCAGAAAGAAGTTTATGCCTATTTGGATCCCTATAATGCATCCCTTCTTGGGTATGTTGTTCTGGCCCATATACCAAGTGACTTGGGGAAGCTGTTAGTTTTGTGTGGGGCCTGGAACCAGGAAGGCTCTTCAACAGCTCCAGGCTGCTGAGCAAGCTTGTTCTATCACTTGGACCATTTGATCCAGCAGACCTGATGGTAGCTGAGGTGTCAGTGGATATAGGAATGCTGTTTGGAGCCTTTGGCAGACCCCTATAGGTGAATCACAAAAGACCATTCTGATTTTGAAGCATGGCTCTACCATCATCTGCCGACAACTTCTTCCATTGAAAGACAACTCTAGTCTGCAATTGGGCCTTAGTGGAAACTGAATGTGGTGGTTTGAATGAAAATGGCCCTAGCTCATAGGGAGTGGCACTATTGGAAGGTGAGCCTTTGTTGGAGTAGATGTAGTTTTGTTGGAGGAGGTATGTCACTAGGCTTTAAAATCTCAGAATGAAGCCACCATGACAACGATGGCCTAAACTTCTGAAACTGTAAGCCAGCCTCAATTAAATGTTTTCCTTTATAAGAGTTGCCATGGTCATGGTGTCTTTTCACAGCAATAAAACCCTAACCAAGACATTCCTTTGAAAGACAGCTCTTAGTCTGCTGACAGGCCTTAGTGGAACTGAACATTAGACAATGGACCACCAAGTTGCCATTCAACCTGAGTCCCATCATGAACTGAGTGTTATCTAGCTCACCAAGTAGGATTGCACAGCAGCAACTTATCATCAAATGAAAGTGATATATGTGTGTGTGTGTGTGTGTGTGTATGTGTATATATGTGTGTGTATGTATGTGTATCTATGTATCTACTCCCATTACAATACTGTCTACTGCCAAGCATGCACCTATAGCCTCATGGGGTGAAGAAGTGAAGATGAGGGCCTGGTTTACTGATAGTTCTGTACTTTATTCAAGCACCACCCAGAAATAGACAGCTGAAGTATTACAACCCCTTTCTGGGACAACCCTGAAAGACACCAGTGAAAGGAAATCTTCATAATGGGCAGAACTTTGGGCAGTACACATGGCCATACATTTTGTTTGAAAGGGGAAATGGCCAGGGTATGGTTGTTCACCAATTCACGGGGCTGTAGCCAATGAGCTGATTGGATGGTCAGGGACTGGGAAAGAACATGATTGGAAAATTGATGAGAAAGACATCTGGAGAAGTATGTGGATAGATCTCTCCAAATGGACGAAGGATGTGAAGGTACTTGTGTCCCATGTAAAGGTTTACCAAAAGGTGACTTCAGCTGAGGAGGAGTTGAGTGATGAAGTAGATAGGATGACCTGTTCTGTGGAGAGTTAGCCTCTTCCCCAGCCATTCCTGCCATGGCCCAATAGGCCCAAGAACAACGTGACATGGTGGCAGAGGTGGGGGTTATGCACGGGCTCAACAACATGGACTTCACTCACCAAGGCTGACCTGGCTACAGCTCCTGCTGAGTGCCAGATTTGCCAACAGCAGATGCCAACACTGAGTGACAGATATGCCATCATTACCCAGGGCTAGCAACCTGGTGGCAGCGTAACTACACTGGACCACTTCCTCCATGGAAAGAATAATACTTTGTCCTTACCAGAGTGGATACGTATTTTGGTTATGGATGTGCCTTTCCTATACATAATGCTTCTGCCAAAACCACCATCCATGAACTACACAATGCCTGATCCACCTATGTGGTATTCCCCACAGTATTGCTTCTGACCAGGGAACTCACTTCACAGTCAGAGAAGGGAAACAATGCATGGAATCCACTGGTCTTACCATGTTCCCCACCATTCTGAAGCAGCTGGTATGAGAGAAAGGTGGCCTTTTAAAGACACAGTTATATGATGGGCAGTGGTATGTACGCCTTTGATCCCAGCACTTGGGAGGCAGAGGCAGGTGGATCTCTGTGAGTTTGAGGCCAGCCTACTCTACAAAGCCACACAGAGAAACCCTGTCTCAAAAACAAAACAAAACAAAAGACACAGTTACAGAGCCAATTACATGACAGCAGCCTCGAGGGCTGGGGCAGAGTTCTATGGAAGGAGGTACATGCTTTGAATCACCATCCAAAATATGATGCAGTTTCTTTTATAGCCAGTATCTACTGGTCCAGGAACCAAGGGGTGGAAAAGGGAATAGTTCCACATTCTCACCCCTAGTGACCCACTAGGATCATTTTTACTTCCTGTTCCACCACCTGAAATTCTGCTGGTCTAGAAGTTTTAGTTCCAAAGCTGGGTGGTGGCGGCAGATGCCTTTAATCCCAGCACTCAGTAGGCAGAGACAGGCAGATCTTTGTGAGTTCGAGGCCAGCCTGGTCTACAGAGTGAGTGCCAGGACAGGCTCCAAAGCTATACAGAGGAACCTTGCTTCGAACTCCCCCCACCAAAAACAAACAAACAAAACAACAAGTTTTAGTTCCAGAGAGTGTGGTGCTCCTGCCAGAAGACACTATAAACATTCCATTGAACTAGAAGCTCAGACTGACCCCTGTCGGATGTTCTGTTGCGTGAGACATTCAAAGAAGGGGAGTTACCCCAGAATGCAATTTTAGGCTCTCTGGAAGTAGGGAGAAACAGTGCCTGTGAGCTGAACCTCAAACCTCCTTTCGGAAGCATAATTATTGATTGTACACAAAGGCTGTTTGGGGCACAACAAGCCCCTCATACCAAAGCCCTTTTGATCTCTTCTATATGTTCTTGGAAGGAAAGCAACATACCCTGCAACCTTTAGTCCTTACTGGGTCCTGTCTGCAGTACCCAATAATGCAAGACCTCCAAGTGTGCTGGATAGTCTTGTGACCAAAGTTATGCAACATATGGAAATCCCCATCAGAAAAAACAACCC